CAGGCCATTTTTTAAAAACAACCCGGTGCGACCCAGCAACCCGTCGGGTTAAATCGGTTTTTTTTCCCGGTTCACCCGGTTCACTCCGGGTCGTACCGGTTCGTTGTGACCCCGGTTCACACGATGAACCGAACCGGTTTCCTGGCCGGTTCGCCGGTTTCCGGTCCGGTTTTCCATACCATGATTTTTTTTCATTTTATATAAGATATGAATAAACAGTATTAAATACTCTTTTCAATGCTTAATATAAAATTATTTAATTAATTTAGGTGGAATAAAAAAATAATTAATTATAACTAATATGACACAACTTTTTAAAATACCTTTATATAACAATATATTGCCAATCAGTTTATAAATGAGGTAACTCAATTTGTGGAAAAACATATAGGACAATAAATTAAAGTTTTATATTTAGAATTAAATTTAAATTCTTATGTTGGGGACTCAAGAGAGAGTACCATTTATGGCTTAAGAATACTCATATTGATTATAAATTTAATATTATATTAAAATATTTTTATTTCTCCTTGTTTCCAAGCGCAAGCAATAGCTTTATCGGTCGAATAGGCCATGTAGCCATGTTATCGAGAGCCATGTTACTACAGCAAAGAACAGCCACAATCATTAGCCTTGATCCACAGTCCACAGGCCACGGGCCACATAATGAGCACCACAAGTATGGGATCCAAGATAGAAGTGCAGGAACAATGACAACAGGGCAAATACATATTATATTCTTAATGTAAAATTATATTATAAAATGAGTTTTATATTTAAAATCGAAAGAGTATTAAGTATTACAAATCTACTAGGTAAGTAAAAATAAATTACATGAAATTTATGTTAATTCGTAAAAGACAACAGGAGATTGACCATTTCATAGATTACAGAGGAAAAAAAATATGTGAAATTTGACAAACAGTATATTAAAAAAAACCAACGCAGACTACCAAAACCACCACAAAAAATAAAAAATCGTTCAGGGTGTAAGGAACTGCTAATGCTAATGCTTCTAATCTAATATATCACTGCTGATAGAAACAGCACTCGAAATTTTCTCGATGGCTACAATATTCAAGGTTAACCATGCTCTGCTGGAACCTTCATATTTACTCAAGGAGAGAACTTTGCAATCAGCTTATCAACGTGGATAATGATATCATTTATCCGGGGCCTCACAGCGGCCTGAGGTTGAAGCATCCATGTCACAAACTGATGAAGAGCTTCTGGATATGGGGGCTTGGGTCCAGCTGGCCATTTGACCTGAGCATTTACAATGGCCAATTGCAGGCTTCCTCCAGATTCTCCAAGTGCGTATTCAAATGGAGATACGCCATACCTACAGAATAAGTCAGGCAACTATGAACAAACATACTAAACCAGCCAAAATATTGCAAGCAAAAAGGGGGGGAAATCCATTCCCACGATGAGGATAGTTATAATGGCATTGAGTCGCCTATAAAACTGGAGGTTGAACTCGTAAAAGAGAAAACAAAGCTGGATAAAAGAACATAACCGAAAATAAAAAGCCGTAGGTCTGCTTTCTGAAATATTAGTTTACACAAACAAACATGCCAGGATTAGGAGGGGCTGACATTGAATCTAATGGCCACTCCCTGTTCTTTCCTCATCATACAAACTATGCACACCCTAAACTCTTAACACATCTGTTAATCTCCAATATCTGAATGTTTATATGGACATCAAGGCTTCAGAATCAAAATGCAATGCATACACAAAAAGCTAAGCACATATGAAGCGATAAGACTAATGTTATTTTGTGGAATCAAGGCACAGACAATATAAATTAATGACACAAAAATTTAAAACATCATATTCAAAGAAGGATTAATCCTCACATTATCGCATACAATGTGCATCCCAGTGACCAATATCAGTCCTTTCATCAATATCAGCATGGCTTGCGCAATCCCACAGCTCAGGAGCGCGGAAAGGAGCAGAGCAGTGTTCAGCTGCCCATTCCTATCAAGAAGTTAAAAATGTAACAATCAGCTGACAGAAAAATCCAATCCTGGTAACTGAAATGAAACTTTGGTCACATGAAACATCAACACCATATAATGAATAAAGTGATGAATGAAGCACCTGTAGCTGTAATGCCTCTTGTCGGGAGCGAATTTGCCTCTTGGCAGGTCGAGCACTGCCAAAATCCATCAATATGGCAAGAGGCGGCTGCCCTTTCCTATACGTTATCAGAACATTTCCAGGTTTGACATCATTATGTGCATATGGAGGATCTAGACCATGCATATGCTCCAGTCCTGCACAAAGCTGTTGAGTTGATTTCACCAGTTAAAAGGCTTAGTACATTTAAGCTATAGCTTTGTCAGCAGTATAAATCCTTCAAACGTAGATAAAAGAAAAGCAATTTATAACGTATGTTCTAAAAATGAACCAGTTATCAAAGATAAGAAACGGTTCATGGTTTACCGGCTCGACTTGTAAGTTTTCCTTATATATATTTCATTAAAAAAATAACAGGATACGTAATACGGGTATCATGTTTAAAAAAAAAAGGACGTATGTGTTATCAAATATGTAAGAGAAGCATAAATATTTTTATAAATTAATTAAATATCTAACAATATGAAAATTAGCTGATTTTTGTTTCATAGTACTAGGATAACATTTAACGAATGCTGGCTTTCAACTAGTCTTTTTCTCTTGACGATTTTTAATTAGTTAGTTACATTCCAAGAATTTTCCTCTTTTTTCTTTTTTTATTTGCATGTGTGTGTAACTAGTGCTTTTAAGTTTTCATCTTCACATTTTAGTTTTGAAAGGCTTCTCAACTAAATTGAGTCAATAGCTTATGTCTACATTTCTTCATCAGACCAAAAGTCCCGTCCTTTTATTATTCCAGGTTAATGGATAAACAGAGGGAGCGAGAGAGATAAAAAGAGGTGATGATGAGAAAGCAAGCAATGCATTTTTGGATCAGGACCATGTCATCTTGTCTTCTTTAAACAGTAACTCCACATTTTGTTTTCTCTTCTCTAAACCATCCATCTCTGCTCTAGCCCTCTTTTTCCTGTTCTGGCATTTTTCTAAAGTTTCAGCTATGGAATAGAACTCAGCAATGAAAAGAAGTGCTCAATGCTGGACTATAAATTAAAAAAGGGACATAGCACGCTTAGCTACTGGTACTTTAACCCTGATGTGTCAACCAGACCAAATAAGCTGCTCGTTTAGTGATTGAACGGACTGGCTTGGCTCTTAGAACCACGTAGGAAACTAAGACAGGCAATAGAAAACCAAATTTCTTCTATCTCATTGTTAATCTTTAGGTAACTAACCTATGTCACAGAAATTGCCAGATTGATATTATAAAAAAGAGCCGCCTTGATAGCCAGACTGTTGGCAAGTTATCATTTTTAGTTGCTAGATTGATATTTAAAAACACAACCCCACACACACATAAAAAGGAGTGAACTGGGGAACAAAACAGATGATCTTTTTACCTGCCGAAATATTTGAAGAACATCAGAGGTAGAATAGAACTCCTTCTTGGCTTTCATTGTTTTGGCATTGTCTAGCAACGTTCCATCCAAGTGAACCGGAAATAGCAAGTATGCTTCATGGTTCCACGATGTTTCTTGGGTAGGCTGTCAGCAAAAATCACATCTTAAAAACATAAGCGTAGTCAAAAGAACAGGGAAGGAATGAAATAAACCTAATGCAGCAAGGAATTAACACAATGTTACACATCCCAGCACTAAGAATATATCTTCGATTTTTATGAGCCCCACTGTAACAGCATAAGTATTTTTCAAATTAGAAAACCTAGAGAATATCCATGCCACACCTCATAGCTGCATAATTCCCAATCAAGCGTTAAAAAACTAGGTCCTCAGCAATATAAGATAGAGGTGCTGCTATATCAAGGCTCTAAAATTAGTATTGATATTTTCATAAGCCATGAGACCAGCACCATGGACCTTCTTATAGAATTTATCAAACTGTTGTATAGGAGCCTAGCACCACTGTTGGCTGCAATTAATTACATTACCCTATAAAATTTGTTTAGATGAAAATTACCTTAACAGAGATGATTGCATGATCAAGAAGTGGGAGCAGATTTCGATGACTAAACAGCGATGAGACACGGATCTCCTCCCTCACCAACTCCAGCTGTTCACCATTCTGAATGAGGATCTTTTTCATAGCATAAGTTCCATCCTCTGCAGAAAGGAAGACCATAGCGAAGTTCATAATTCGTAATTATATAGAAAGTCATAACTGCAGACAAACAACCACGAAAATTTAAACTTACAAATCACCACCATCACAGCGAGAAACATGACAGGATATTTATCACAATTTTTTATTCATAATTCATGACGGGATAGTTGTCGTCCCCATTCTATCAAAAACACATTACTTCGCCGCATAATCACTAGACGCTAACTAGCACACAACAAGAAAGAAGCAAGCACACAGATCTCATTCAATAGTAAACACGTCTATCGTGCCCGAAGACCAGATGGACTTAAAGTTCATAAAATTTTTTATCCAAGCTCAAAAATCAGAAATCGCATACAACAATCTAAATCTAAATCTCTAATGAATTCAGTTTAGATAGGAAGGAGGGGTACTCTAATGAATTTAGTATTAAGAAGCTCCGATCAATATTGATCAGGTTGGAATACGCGACAAAATCTAAATCTCTATATACCTTTATTTCTATTATATTTCTCCCTGACTCGGGAATATAGGAAATTACTATCAGATTCCAATAGGAATAACGCAGATCACAAAGTGATGCACATTTTATACAGTAAGGCGCAAAGAATGCTTCGGCCTAAGAAGGAGAACAAACGAACCAGAGACATGAGAGGAGTCTTTGAGCTTCTTAGAGAGACCACTGCCAGCAGAGGCGGGAGAGGAGTCAGCGACCACCTCCTTAACCAAATAGACGAAGGCGAACCCACCTTCCCCAAGCTGCCTGACGATTCGGAATCGGTTGTCATTGATCCAGACATCCCCTCCTCCATTAACGGCGTCGTAGAGAGCATTCAACCCGGAAAACGAGCACCCCATCTCTTTCTTCTACTTCCACTGCTTCTACAAGTGCATGCAGATCCCCAAATCCCTCCTTTTGTCTCACCCTTTCAGCCAAACTTCCGGTGCAAAGAAATGAAAACAGGAGTCCAAGAAGGAATTTGGAATCCGGGAACCTGATTTCACCACAATTGAGTAACCGGAATGATTTTTATTACCCTCCCTTGACTCTGTTGTATAAGTATTCAATCCCCGGATCTCTCCAATTTCAACCAGAGTACCAAACCAAGCACATTTTTTTTATTTTGGCACTGAGGCACTCGCTCGTTGATTTGCAGACTCCCGTGTAAGTCAAATCAAATCAAGGGTTTGATTCGCACGCTCCCGTATAAGTCAAATCAATCAAGGGCACATGATGATAAATTTTCCCCCATTCTAACGTTATTATTTTAAGAGTTGAAAAACAAAAAAATTAGGTCCATGCACACGATTTTTTCTTGGTACGTTGCCTTCTTCGCGAGACCAAAGGGAGGAAAAAAATAGTACTCGTATTTGGTTATAATACTGCAATAGTAACTTGTTTTAATATGCATTTTTTAAAAAATCTGAATATTATGCTTTTGATTTTTGTCGGTGGAAAAGAGAATGCATACTGATTTCGGGCTCCTTTATTACCGTTTCTTTTAATGATTTTTCTTTCAAGTAAAAAAAATTGATTTTTTTTAATAAGAAAAGAATTATTTTAAAAGTCTGATGCAGTAAATAGATAATGCAGCAATTTTTAACAAGCGCGAGAATGATGGGCGGCAGAACTAGAGTCTCATTCTGAAGTCCGAAATTCTGTTTAGGGCCTTCCACGTGTCTTGTAAGCCAGATTTATAACAGAATCGCATGCCCCGATCTTTCAAGTCCTAACAGGTTGAAGGGCGTCAAGCCGTCAACTGAAAGATCCAACAAGTTCTTTACTCTTACTCGAAAGGTTCGCTTCTCGTGTTTTCTAGTTGCCTCAGTCCATTCTCTGCTGTTAACAAATGATCGCTGGATAATCACTCTCATCAAAATTTTAATTTTATTATTTTGTTGTGGGTGGCCGTACCTCCAGTTTTCATTGCTTAGCTGTTGATTTTTGTCCAGACTTCGCAGTACAATTTGATATTCGCCGAGAGCGTATATTAATTTGTAAGTTTATCACGGTGTTCCTCTCTGTTACAGTTCCTCAGGCTTTATCCTGTACATTATTTTTTTGTTCCTGGTTTATATCGCGTGGGATGGAGTTGCTCTATATATTTCTACTTCCTTGTTTCCGATTTAAATTACAATTCCTCTTAAACTTCTTTTCTTTCTGTTTTGCTGTGTGAAATTTTTTGGATTTCTGCATAATTTCTTTTTGTGGACATATTCTTTGATGTAGTGGAACAGTAACTGTTTTCGCTAATGTAGGATGGCAGAAGCTAGTCTTTAATGTTTCATATGAGTTGAAGTTGCTGATATCCATTAGAATGATATTATCAGTCAATGGCTGCATATCCAGTAAATTTTACATGCAAAAGTCAAATGTGTTCACTGTTGTTTCTATAGGATATGTTTCTTTTCTTTCCTTTTTCCTTTCTTTTTCATTTTTATGAATAAGTGGTAATATATGTTTCAAAGGTGAGTTATATACTACGTCATGATTCTATGTGCAGTTTATGCAGTTTGACGTCATTCAATTTGTTGTAATGTTGTTTGCATATCTTAATTTGACACTTTCATTCCCAGGTCCTTTTTGGTTGCCTATAACGTGGACATCCCTACTTTCCTTAATGGCACCACAAGATACTGCTTCTGGTGTTGAAATACCGCAGAGAACTTCTGGTCTACTGCGGGATCAGGTTCAGCTAATAAAAAGAAAGGATTCTGATCGCTATGAAATTGTCTCCATCCCAGATTCTCTCTCATTTGAGAAAGGCTTCTTCATAGTTATTCGTGCATGCCAATTGCTGGCTCAAAAGAATGATGGGATAATATTAGTAGGAGTCGCTGGACCCTCTGGAGCTGGGAAGACTGTTTTCACTGAGAAGGTCCTCAGCTTCATGCCAAGCGTTGCTGTCATAACAATGGACGACTATAATGATTCTAGTCGAATCATAGATGGCAACTTTGATGGTAAGTTTTATTCTCATCAATTGCATTAAGTCCATGACATGATTCAATTGGTTTCATTGATCTGGGAAGACGTTCTTGTTTCTCGTTTATTGGCATGCTCAGAATTTATTTTGCCCATTCATTATAAAGAACTTCTCCCAGTCGTTCATCTTTCTTGTCAACTTCCTAGAAATAGGACAGATTCAATGCAATCCAGACTTCTAATGTCGTGATTCTTGAAAACAGACCCTCGGCTGACAGATTATGATACATTGCTCGAAAATATACGGGGTCTCAAAGCTGGCAAGCCAGTTCAGGTTCCAATATATGATTTCAAGTCTAGCTCTCGCATAGGCTACAGGTTGTGTGCCTTTCCACATAAATTTTTTTTTTGGGGGGGATATGAAAAAGCTTGTTTTGTGGCTGTAGCGAAAACTATGCCTCATAGTGAAGAATCTGAAAATAGTGCGTGCGCAGAGAATGTAATAGCAATTCATGCTAACTGTTGATTGAAGTTATTACTATATCTGCTGGCCTTACATGGTGAAAACACTACAGTGTCTGGTTATCTGAAGATAGTAGTTCTAATAGTTCACAGGAACATGGCACTACAACATTTACACACTATCTCTCTGGTCAATTTCTTAAAGACACGCATATGAAATGCATGTGCACTTCCATGCACATGACTCTCCAACAGCCTTAAACACTGATATAGACATGCATAGAAAACACATATATGGTCTACATATGGATGTTGATTATGTTGGGAGGGAGTATGGTGCAGGCTATTTAAGTTTTGATGCACATAAAGTACATATAGATAGTATCCTATTATTTCAGCTTCAATTCAGTAACATATTTACTATTCATTTCTCAACTTCCTTTTGTACCATTTTTCTTACAGGACGGTTGAAGTCCCTAGCTCCCGTATCGTCATAATAGAAGGCATCTATGCCTTGAGTGAAAAGTTACGTCCTTTGCTGGATCTTCGGGTGTCTGTCACTGGAGGAGTACACTTCGACCTTGTCAAGCGGGTCTTGCGGGATATTCAACGTGCTGGTCAAGAGCCTGAAGAAATAATTCAACAAATTTCTGAAACGGTTTTTCCCTGATCCCACGCTAGATTTTCCCTTTTCTTGAAATAAATTGACTATAAAAGGGATCAGCTTTAATTGTAACCTGTTACGTTGTTTCTTGTGCAGGTATACCCGATGTATAAAGCCTTTATTGAGCCAGATCTCCAAACAGCACATATTAAAATCATAAACAAGTTTAATCCATTCTCTGGATTCCAGAATCCCACCTACATATTGAAGGTGATCCTCTTGTCTTTTGTCATGATTTACATTCAACAAGTGCTTTCTTCGTGATTTATTATTAAGTAATTTTCATTGATTCTGATGTTGTAGTCAGCAAAGGCTGTGACAGAGGATCAAATCAAAGCCGTTATTGCTGCAGAGCATACTGAAACCAGGGAGGAAACGTATGACATATATCTTCTACCACCTGGGGAAGATCCTGAAGCATGTCAATCATACTTGAGGATGAGAAACCGGGATGGAAAGTACAATCTTATGTTTGAGGTTAGGTGATTAAACAACTCTTTTTGGATAGGTATTGATTTTTTCTTTTTGGAGAAAATGTATAATGAGCAATAATTTTATGGGATTGTTTCAGTAGGATTTTGTTTCATGATAAACAATTTCTATCTTTGATCAAGGAGCGAAGTATCTTGTACAAGAATTGAAATTATTTTCTGTATCAAAATTCAGAAGCGCATTCTATATGCTCCTGAGCTTTTCCCAAACTCTGCTAAAATATGGTTTTTTTCCTTGTTTTCAGGAATGGGTTACAGACAGTCCATTCATAATATCTCCTAGAATTACTTTTGAGGTTAGTGTACGCCTTCTGGGAGGGCTGATGGCCTTGGGGTACACAATTGCGGCTATCCTGAAAAGAAACAGCCATATCTTTCATGATGACAAAGTCTCCATAAAAACTGATTGGTTGGAACAACTAAATCGCCTATATGTTCAGGTGTAGTAGCATATCATTCAGAATTTTCTTGCTTTGCTTGCGTGGGTTGATAATGCGAGAGTCTGCCTTTTTTTTTTTTTTTTAAATGAACTGAACATTTTATTTATAAAATTGTAGGATGACTGTAATTAATCATGAAATCTGTCTGAAGTCATCGAAGGTATCATTCAAAGAATTCGGAACCTCTATATTCACAATAGTCAATGCATATGGGGAGACAGAGAAATAGAGATGATTGTTGTAAAAATGAAATATAAACCTCATACATAATCACATTCTTTGGTGTCACTTTCTCTATAAATGTACAATTGCATTAATGTCGAGGATCCAATTTGCATTCAAAGATGCCTTTTCTTGATTTGCTATGCTAATCATATAACCGGTCTGCTGATAGGGTACAGTAAATTTTCCAATACTTGCTGAGGACCCGATCAATGTCCTGACATACAATTCTGCTTTTACGATTGTCTTATTGATGTCTATCCTTCAGTGATTTCTCCCGCATGCTGGAAAAAATTTACAACAAATGTTGTGCTTGTTGATTTTTGTCTTCTGTCTCTTGGCAATCAAGGCCCATGCCATGGTTGTAGGCATTATTTATCTTAGGTCCAGGCACTTGAAACTTTGGGCTTTGCTTGGACCAGATTCCCAGATTCATTTCTATTTAATTTTTTTCACTATTTTATGCTCAAATATTTGCTTCATTTTGTGATAAAGGTGCAAGGGAGAGATAGAAACTATGTTAAATCTGTGGCTGAGAAGCTGGAGTTGGATGGTTCTTATGTTCCTCGCACCTACATTGAACAAATTCAGCTGGAGAAGCTTATAAATGATGTGATGGTATGACCTCTTCGATAAATTTACTTGTGCTTCACGTATTTGTATACTAATTTGGTCAAAGTGCAGGCATTGCCAGATGATCTGAAGACCAAACTCAGTCTAGACGATGATGTGGTTTTGAGCCCCAAAGAAGCCCTTTCCAGAGCTTCTGCAGATAGGAGAATGAAGTACCTAAATCGGTACGTTTTAATTATCTTAGAAACCGGTGATATGCCTCCCGCTTTCTTTCATGATAAGAAGATCAAGTTCTGACTTCAATTGAAATTGAAAATAGAGAGTAAAACCTTATGATGTTTTCCCATGTGTGTTTCTTGCAGCAATTTCTCCCACTCATTTTCAAGTCAAAGAGACAAGAGTCTATCTAAGTTGACTAGATTAGCTATAAATAACCGAAGATTTGATGGACGTGCTCTAGAATCACCTGCAGCAATCGCAAACCAAGTAAGATATATCGCTTTCAGAAGTCATACCCTGGCAATCATTTTGGCTTCTGCATTCATCAAAGCGCAAAGAGACATAACCTACTGTATCTCTTTGTGGATTTCATGGGGGAAAAGTAGCTGAATTAGTTGCTAGAAAGGGTGAAAGGGATAACATCGAAAACGTAATATGCAATTGTACTGCAAATTGGAAAAAACATAAATGAAAGGAATGTTCAATTTTAGTGGAAGTCTATTCATGTATTTGTTTGGCATAGAGGGGTGGCAAGAATTGATAGCTGTCTGCACGGGTAGAAGTTCCTTCTGTTTTTTTTTTTTTTTTTCACCCAGCTAATTGATTCAATTAATCTCACTCATGATTTCTTTTCGGTCCAGGGAGTCATTACACAACTTTCTGATCAAATTTCTACGTTAAATGAGAGAATGGATGAGTTCACATCCCGTATTGAAGAGCTGAATTCTAAATTTGCAAACAGAAAAGTATCCGCCAGTCAGCAGAACTTGGCTTTACAGGCTGAAGCTTGCAATGGCTCGGGACCCACTTCCCTCTTCCTTACTGGGTTGGGTAATGGTTCGTTGCTGCCTAATTCTTCATCATCTTCCCAACTGGCGAGGGAGTCCCCACTGATGGAAGAGGTAAGTCCCTTCCCTTTTTTTTTTTCTGGGACAGTTTTAGTTGACTTTTCTCTTCGCCTTCATCCCAAGTAATTGGATATATTTACTGTTCAAAACCCGATTATGTTTAGATGTTTGCATTATGGGTTGGATAATGCTAGTGAAAATGCACACTCTAACAGTCACACTCCAACTCGTTTTCATCAGGTTGTACTTATTGCACGAGGACAACGTCAAATCATGCATCAACTAGATAGTCTGAGCAATCTTTTGCATGAATATTGCGGAGAAAGAGCACGTCTAGGAAGGGTAAACCAAGCAAGTAGGATGCCTGATGTTGACTTCGCCATCCCGCTTTTTCTGACCGTGGCAATTGGAGCTGCTGGCGTCTTTTTGTTCAAGGGCTTTACATCCCATAAATAACATGTCCTTCTGCGAAACAATTTGTGAACACCATCGCCCTTTCCTGGAGTTTTGCTGGACAATTGACCGGACATTAGTGACAAGAGGCAAACATTAATTCCAACCTTATATGAAGTAATATCGGATGGCCAATGGCCAGTAGAATTTGAATGATGTGTGCTTTTCCAATACAAGCATATGTACATCTGCTTTCCCGTCCCACCATACCAATATCCTTGGTGGGAATGCTGAGCTGACTATAACTTGTAGCCTTTTGTTGTTATTATATATCATGCAGATTGGAAAGGCCATCGGATGTAATGGAAAGCAGCTTGATTTCTCTGGCTTGCTTTTCACTGTAAATTATTACGGCTTACGTTTCGTTGTAAATTTTGTTGTTAGACTGAAGCAGGGAAAGTATAGGTCTTTAACGCAACAATTATCTGGCAATTTCACTGTTTTCTCACCTCTTTAACTATCTTGACGTTTTAGAAAGTGTTTAGATAAAAATAAAATCATAATTTTAAAAATGATTTTTACGGTATACGAAATAAATATATAAAAAAATTTATTTTGATTTGTAAAAAAATATTTTTGAAAAATATTTTTATAGCTTCCCAAACACCTCTTAAACGAACAACTGAATAGTTTCATGGGCAGGGCTCGTTCCCATCGGTGAGTAGTGGACGTCGCTGCAGCGTGAGGGGTAGAGTGAAATGGAGTATATGGAAACTAAGGGTAGATACTTGAATTTGTTTCCATTGAGAACGGATAACGACAGCATGGTTATCCGTAGATTACAGGTGGGCGTAGGTACGGAGCGACAAAAAACTTAGGAACCAATACGGGCCTTTACACGAATAAAACACATACCATTAAAAGCAGAGTCAAGGAGAGGTCACAAGTGCTCCCGTCTCTTTCACTCTCAGTTAACAGGAACAATATGCAAGTGACCCATAATAGCAATCGTTGGACTCCATTGATTCATACAGTTGCCCTATGATTTGGCCAGTGTGATTTCAGAGATTTTCCCGCCTGATTTGCCACCCGACAAGTTGATCCCGAGACCGCCCAACAATATACTCGATAAGGAAAGAAATTGCCAAACAAAAATAAACAAACAGAAAAAGGGGGGAAAATAGATCCTATGAGAGATAATATCAGCAATTTGTCCATGGTAAAATGCTTTAACTGGCCAAAGCAAAGAGTACAAAATGAATTCGTGCTTCAAAAAAGAGAAGCAGTAACTTCATTAACTTCCGATACAACTTGATCATAATCTGACTTCAGTTTTTCTTGTTCCCCTTTATCTAATTCCCCCTTAGCAGGCTTGGTCATCACTAAAACGCAACAAGTTGGCCTCTTAGTCACTCCTGCACTTGCAAGGTCCTGGAAAATCACACAAGAGGCATAGCAACATCACATAATGGCATAGCACGTCTTATTTTATATAATTAAAAAAGAGAGAGGGACAAGGTAAAATTGATTTCTTACTTCTTTCGATGGGACATATATGTATGGGATTTCAGCTTCTTCACATAAGATAGGAAGATGAGTGATCACATCAATCGGCGAAATATTGCCAGCTATAACACATAATCTGCATTAACCAAAACAGAAAATTAGGGATAGATTAATTTTCCTTTTCATGCAATTGACCAGAAAGCAACTAGATGAAAACCAAAAAGACAAAGGTTAAACGAGCATCTTTCAAGGAACTACTAGGGCTTAGGAGCATTCTTGATGAAGTTGTTAATTGCAGATGTTTCAGAAACCAACAGGTCCCATGTCCCTTTTCTACTTAATAAATCAGATTATATTAATAAATTGGATAATATTCTGCTAAGCTGGGCGATTCTTTTGCCGCAATGCAGAGAGCAAAAAACTTAATGCTTAAGAATCAATCAGAGCAATACCATTTCGAGACATTTTAGTCAGTCTTCCCTGACAACAAAATGTCAACTAATTCTCTTTAGACAGAGGATCGCATTTTCACAGAATACTAACCCTTTATGACCACGCCTTATACTTTTAACCACTTCCTTTACTCCTCTCTTTAAGCACTTGTGTTCAGAAGCTGAAAGAATAAGAAAACGAATTGTTGCAGGTGAGCACTTGTTCTACATTAAAATAAGCACTACATATGTAAAACCTAATGGCTGGATACAGTAATTTTAGAAGAAAAAAGAAGATATGATGCATGATTAAAACACATTCCACGATCACAGGAAGGAAATTGCGTCATATCATATCCAAGCTACCAAAAACGTATCCAGCGATTGCTAACAGAATGAAAATGTGATACCAAGCATAGAAAAACAACCAGCTAAGACAAGAAAGAAAGAAAAAGATGCACATGGGGCATAATACCTCGACGAACAAGTTTAAGAGTTCGCTTGCAGAGCTTCTTCCCAGCCAGAGGTTTGGCAATCGGAGACAGGCCTAGCATCTTCTTCTTCTCCTTCTGCGCCGACTTCTCGGCTTCACCATCGCTCCCCATCTCTTCCCGGAAGTGAAGGAATGACAGTCGGGGAAGAAGAATACAGCAGCTAGGGTTTAATGTAGGGTTTCTCTTTTGTCGCTCCATAAAATCCCATTATATATTTTTATATCTGGGCCTAACCTCCCTGCTTTTTCATGTGAGAAGACGGTGATTGGGCTCAATAAAACCCAGCAACTATGGGCCTAACCCTTGTTCTTGGGCTTAAATGGACTGCCGGCGTCCAGTATAACACAGACCTGTCAAGGAAAATAAATTATGACCCATTTAAGAAGAAAGATTACATGTAATCCTGATACAAAAGTTTGATTCAATTGTTTGTTTGGACTTTATAATATAAAGAAGATTACATCTTGATATCCTGATTCTCTTAAAAGTTTGCATCCCAATTATATAGATAGACCTTATAAATAGGAATTATACAAGAAGAAAAATACATTATTACCCTTAAAAACAAGATAATCTACTTGGACCCCCTCCTCCATCTTGCACTGCCATCATTTTGATTACCACATGCTTTGCCTTGACAGTGCCATCGCGGCCATGAAACCCCGTCCCCAACCTCACCCTCTTACTTTCCATCCACTCATCATCTTTTTTTTTTTTTTAAGCCTAACATCTAGCCTTCAACCCTAAAATCAAAACCTCTCAGAAGTCTTTCAATTTGGAGATCTATTTACGTATTTATTATTAGATGCATTCCTGAACAATCACTTCGTCATCTCACTCCTCCTTGTTTCTTCAATTCATAAGAATTTTTTTCATTGTTATGTTTTTGCGATGATTTCTGATTTGTGGGAAGAAAAATATTTTCTTGGCTAATTTGCGGTGGAGGAGGGAGGCATTTCTCTTCTGTTTTTTTTTTTTCCTTATTATTTTTATCTTTTTAATTTATTTGTAATTAAGTAAATATGAAAAATATATTTTATTATCTCATTTCTAATATTGTATCAAACAAACTTATTATAATTGTTAGGGATAATTAATCCGCAACTCCCTATAGTTTCAACTAATTTTGAATTAGATCTTTATAGTTTTTTTTATCAGGTCCTTATATTTTCACCTGTTTTTAATTAGGCCCTTGTATTTATTTTTCTTTTTATCAAGTCCTTATAAGTTCACCTTATTTTTAATTAAGTCCCTGATTTTTTTATACTTTATTTTATAAATTCTAATAATACTATTATATAAACATAAAATAGTATATATTATTTAATATTAGTTTATAAACAATAATATTCTAAAGATATTGAATTATTATAATGATTTTAATTTTTTCAGCAAAAAAATTAATTGTTCTAAAAAATTATCCTAAATTAATCAAGTCTATTACTTTTTTATTACATGATTATTAATTTAATTTAATTATTAATATTTTATATTTCAGTAGTAATCTATTTAATTAAGCTTATATTTGATTAATAAATAAAAATTAAAACTACATGGACCTGATTAAAAATTTAGTGAAATTATAAGGACTTAATTAAAAGAAAAATAAATACAAGGACCTAATTAAAAAAAATAAAAATATAAGGACCTGATAAAAAGAAAAAAACTATAGGGACTTGATTCAATTTTATTGAAACTAGAAGGACATACGGATTAATTAACCCTAATTGTTATTACATTACATTACATCTCCACCCATTTCCTTGCATCACAATTGCAGGTGCTCCAGTTACATTTTCTTCATTCGTAGCGTTTGATGATTGGATCAAAATTAGATGAACACTAATAATCTTATAACATCAATGAGAACTCTCATCGTCCACTGCCATTGAGGAAGCAGTACTGCTCTCCTTCATAGTTGTCTAGGCAAAAGTCCCATTTTACAAATAAGAATGATTGACAAAAATCATTATCTGAAAATAAAAATGTTAGAGTTAAAAAACTGAAAATATGCTTTAAAAATTCAAAACTGAAGATTTGTTTTGGCCAAAAAAGTTAGAAGATTGAAGGTATATTTTTATCCAAGTTAAAAAGAAATTTATATTTTTATCATAAAAATATCTACGGGACAGGTTTAATTTAAAAATTACAATTAAAATGTTAATTAAGATTTCTATACTATACAAATATTATTAGCCTGAGAATCAGGATTAAGAATATGTCACGTGAGCATATTAAAAGTAGCAGAGAAAAATTATTCCACGCTAATCTTGAACTTTAGTAAATACTATTTTTTATTCTTAATATAAGAGTTAGTTTAATTTTTAATTTGGTTATAAATATAAAATTTTGATTTATTTTGTTTCTCATATTTATCTATTTTTTCAATAATTACATATGTTAAATGTTTAATCAAATGACACTTGATTCACAAGAGTATTTTAAATAGATAATATCTATTTATTACAAATAACTAACCTAACTAATTTTTTTATCTACTTAAATTAGTCAAATACTTTTCTTATATTAGTATAAAAGTCTTATATTTAGGACCGGGAAGTAATTCTTATACTCCTCCGGTCCTTAATATAAGACCCATTTAACTAATTTGATTAGATTAAGGAAGATAGGTAAGTTAGTTAATTATAAGAAAAGTGACACAGTTCTCCCAAAATACCATAATCATCTTTCTTAATACCCCCTCTCCCTCTTCTATTTGATTATGGGTGAGAGAGTATCTATAGGGGTAATTTAGAGAAAATTGATAAATATGAGAAATGGGTCATATATTTAGAACCGAAACCAACTCAAGAATTGGGTCCTATATTAAGAACTGGAGGAGTATTAAGATATGGAGGTGGTAATATGAATCCCAAACTTTGTTTTTTGGCCTGAAATAAGAATCCTAAACTTTAATAAGAGAATAAATTCCGTTGGCAAAAAAAGAGAGGGAGAGAATAAATACCGTTGGAAAAAAAAAGGGAGGATAAATTCGATGGTAAAAAGAAGATAACAAGAGAGTAAGGGGGTGTTTGGATAGAAACCAAACCATGGTTTCAGAAGTGCTTTTACGGATTACGAAGTAAATATGTGGAGGAGGTTACCTCGTTTTGCGGAAAAGTGATTCTGAAATTTAGGTTTTGGTTTTGCCAAACACCCCCTAAATTCTCCCGCGGCGCGAGCTGTTTTTTGTGGGCGCCACTGAGCGAAGCAGCATCTTGGGCATTCCAAAACCTAACGCAGAAGCCGTCTCCGTTGAAACAGAGGAGGTCGCCTGGTTGCAATCGGGACTTCGAGAGACAACCATGCCTACAATCGGTGTCGGGCGGGATCGTCTGTTCGCAGCTCTAGGAAGGACTTACAGTGAGCTTCATTTCCCTTTTCAATCTATCCAGCATTTCAAATGCGCGACAGTTACTGACACTTGCTGTCGTTTTTAATCTCCAGCACAAGAAGAATTCGAAGACCTGTGCTTCAGTTTTGGAATCGAGCTTGACGACGTTGTAAGCTCTTTGACCAAAACTTAAACGTTTTGATAGAAATGTGATTCATCTTACTGATACAATGTGATTCTGACAGACTACTGAGAAAGCAATTGTGAGAAAAGAAAAGCATTTGGAAGAAGAAGTTGATGAAGGTGAAGAAGTTATCTACAAAATCGAAGTTCCGGCCAATAGGTACCCTTACATTTAAATTCTTTTCCCTTAATTACCTCGTGCATGCAGATGCAATCAAAATGTAGGTGTAAATTGGCCATTGCTTCCCAAAAAAGAGTCTTTGATATGACCTTGTAAATGCGTTAAATGTTATTGCTGGTTGACGAATTTTCCTTTCAGGTACACAGGCAAGCCCAACTTCCATTTTAAGTTTACTTAATGATTTACAGTCTTCTGGCTCGAGCCTACGTATAATCAATCGGGGTTGAACCACTTGTTTATATTTAACGGTTTCATCTTATGTTTCTCCTTGAATTTGGGATTTTTTTTTTTTTGGGTTTGGGTTGCAAGCTTTGTACTTTCTGAGAGATTAGCGATGATAATGAAGTATGCTGTACGGAATTAATGCTTGAACGAAGCTAAGATGCTTTTACTTGCACAGATATGACCTGCTTTGCCTTGAAGGGCTAGCTCAAGCCCTCCGAGTGTTCTGTGGTGTCCAGGAAATCCCTACGTACAGTTTGGCTGACATTAGTAAAGATGCAATGCTCAAAATGCATGTTAAGCCAGAGGTAGTTATGCTATCCCTGAACCACTTTTTCAAGGCCATTTACTGATTGGAAACTGAGATGTGTCTCTCGTGTTAATCATTGTAGACATCTTTGATTCGTCCATATATTGTTTGTGCCATACTGAGAGGGGTAACATTTGATCAAGCAAGATACAACAGCTTTATTGATCTCCAAGACAAGCTTCATCAAAACATTTGCCGGTAATGTTGTTTGACTCACTTATTTGCTATCCATATTCTCTTTGGGCACGGTTGGTTACTGGTTTATATGTTTTATATCATTTTTAAATCTTTAGATTCTTTATTTTCTTAGCTTTCAAGGAAAACTGGGTAATCCTTGTTCATTGGTTTATCAAATTATGCGGTTTTAATTCTAAACTGCATTGCCTTTTTTTAGGATCATTTCAACACTTTATCTCTATGTTTAATCTTCATTTTGTTTTTTCAGGCGAAGAACTCTTGTTGCAATTGGCACTCATGATCTTGATAAGTTGGAAGGCCCTTTCACTTATGAGGTTTCTGCTAAATATAAACCATGAATATTCTTTGTGTTATATATATAGGATAGTAAGAAAAACATAATAGGAATTCAGGATCTAGAAGGACTCTTGGGGTATTATGTTGAAAGTTGAAACCTACTTATTAGGAACTTGGAACTTGCTGCCTAGCCTATGCATCTTTTTTATCACTAAACGTATCTTCTTACAATCTGTGTTACAACATCTCTTTCTCTATTGGTTAGTGTGGCATACACTTTCATTTGAGTTGACTGTATGATAGATGGTCTTAAACCATGTTTGAAATCACTGATTGGTAGTGTTTATGTTAAGATCCGGTTAGAAGTTGCTAGTTATGTTCGTTTCTAAGTCAATCTATTTAAGATTTTATCCTGATACAAAGTTGGTATGAAATTTTTGAAGTAGATAAGATTTTGTTGGATTTGTT